AAAAGGTTTGTCAACCCGACTCTCAATATCCACTGAACTCATCTCCTTCCTTCATTAGAAGCTCCAGAAAATAACTCCAAAGGAAACCACTTTTCTTAAGGCAGAAGCCCGACCCAGTCCCTATTATCAAAGCTACACCCATGAATTAGGGGCTAAACATAAATGAAAAGTGGTCTGCCCCTAAAAGCCGTCAGATCAGGGCCTGAAAGCAACCTACCAACCAGGCAAGGTGTGCAGAGCGCCAAAGCAAAGGACAAGATTTCGGTTTGCTTTGCTTATTTTTTTCTTTGTATGAGTAAGACCAACATTGGAGAATGCTCATCTCACAAAGATTTCACTAACTTCTTTTAACCACAATGCAGTTTCACAACTGCATGCAATCAATATAGAAAGAATTCTAATCCGAAATACTTAAAATGCACACTGCCTTTGTTTACAATAGTATGTTTCGCAGGTGTTAAACTATATGAATGGTGATTATATTGCATATTTATCCTTCAGCAATTTGCTTTTTTAGCTCAACTTTATATTTTTAAAGGTTTTGTCATGATGATATACACAGCTCCTCTTTATTCATTGTAATTTCTAAATAGTATTCCACTGTAGGAATACATGATTTCTTCATCCAATTTCCTGTAAGTGAACATTTAGATTGTTTCCTATTGACCATTAACACAAAAACAGGATTACAGTCCAGCCAGTGTGGCTCAGTGGTTGAGCATCAACCCATGCACCAAGAGGTCACCAGTTCGATTCCTGGCCAGGGCACATGCCCAGGTTGTGGGCCCAATCCCCACTGCGGGGCATGCAGGATGTGGCCAATTGATGTTCTCTCTCATCGGTATTTTCATTTCTATCTCCCTCTCCCTTCCTCTCTCTCTAAAATCAGTAAAGAAAAAAAAAATTACAAAAAAAACCCCCACACAGTATTAGAATTAAATATCTATTTTGAATATCAACTTTTTCCTAGTTTATCCAATAACCAATTCCTGAAATATGGGAAACTGTATAGCCTATAAGCTCAGAAATCACAGATCCTGGAATCTACTCCTCAAACCAGCTCTGTGGTTCTTGTAGCCAATTGTTTAAATCTCCCTACACCGCAGTTCCCTCATTTGTAAAATAGAGTTAATGAAAATGACTAAATATTTATAGTTGAAAGAACTAAATAAGATATTATAAAGCATTTGGCCTGGCACACAGTACGCATCAATAAATGGTAGCTACTAATATGATTAACATCTATGTACAATCAAAATTATTTAAGTTATTTTAGGGGCTTCAAAAAAGCTAATTAAGCCCTGGCCAGTTTGGCTCAGCAGTTGGAGCATAGGCCTATGGACCAGAGAGTCCTGGGTTCAGTTCCCACTAGGGGCACATACCAAAAAAAACAACAAAAACAAAACAAAACAAAAAAGCTAATTAAATTAATTTACTTTTTAAAAAAAAAATTGATTTGAGAGAGAGGGAGAAAGGAAGAGAGGGAGAGAAAAACATCAATGTGAGAGAGAAATAGCTATCAGTTACCTCCCATACATGCTGGGACCAGGGATCGAATCCAAAAATTAAGTCTGTGCCCTGACCGAAAATTGAATCTATGACCGTTCAGACATACCAGCCAATAATCGAATCATTTTAGCCGAGATTTTGCTCTGTAGTCAGTAATGGTTTCTTTCAGAAGACTGACCAGCAAAAATTTTCATCAATGCAATGAATATAAGGGAGGGGAGTATAGAAAGACCTACAACTTGGGAGTTTAAAAAATCAGTTTACAAATAGGAATGTAAGTGCTTCAGTAAACTAAAACCTCTTACGAATAAAAATACTCATACTACATTCCAGTGCTGTTCAATGAAAATATAATGTGAGCCACATTATAAATTTTCTAGTAGCCACATGAAAAGGTAAAAAGAAACAAGTAAAATTAATTTTAATACTGTATTTTACTTAACCCAATCTATGCAAATAATCATTTCAATATGCAAATGATATTCTCAAATAATGAGGTATTTTAGACTTGTTTTTACACTAAATCTTCAAAATCTGATGTGTATTTTACCTTTATGGCGCATCTCGATCCCAGTAAGGCCTATTTCAAGTGCCAGTAGACAGTCATGTGTGCAGGTGGCTAGCCATGTAGACAGTGCGGTTTTAACCTATGCCTTTTCCGAACAATTCCCGTAGAGTGTTTTTAGCAAACACTTTTATTGGCTAATACGGTCTCTATTTCTTTTATCAAAGTAACTATAGGGTGAGAACACTCACCAACTTGAGTTCTTCCCAATAAAAGTAGCACAACTCCATAATTTCATCAGAATTAAACATTTTTGAAGAAGCAAAAAGTGGGAGAATAGTGGCTTACAGTTTACAAGACACATTCTTTCACGTTATTTCATTTCAACCTCCCCAAAACTCAGTGGGATAGATCATTTACAAATGAGAAAACAGAGGACCAAAGTCAAGTGATTTGCCAAGAGTTACATTGGTAAGTGGACCCAATTCCATGTACCCAAACTACACGGGCAGCACAGTTGTACAAATGCAGAAAGTAAGTGGGCTCTATTTCTTCAGGGTAGATCTACCCCAGGACCAAAGAAAGGGTATTCACAGGCTCTAAATCTCTCTCCATTTACACCAGAACCTGAAATCAGAGCTTTAAAAAAGGCATTCAAATCTAAACCAAAAAACACCTGAGTGTGGCAAAACAAAACACAGCACTGGTCAAGTAATCTCGAATGTTAAGGTGGAATAGTCCTGCTTCTCAAAGAATTGACTCTAGTACCAAGATGGGCAAAGTCTTGCCCTGGCCGGTTTGGCTCAGCGGTTAGATCGTGGGCCTGCGGTCCTAAGAGACCAGGGTTCGGTTCCCGCTAAGGGCGAGTACCTCGGTTGCAGTTTGTCCCCGGCCCTGCGGGTGGCAGCCACTCGATGTGTCCCTTTCACATTGATGTTTCTCTCTCTCTCTGTTCCTCTCTCTCCCTCCCACTCTACCTGAACAAAAAAATGGGAAAATGTCCTCGGGTGAGGATAAAAAAAAAAGATGGGCAAAGTCTTAAGTAAACAAATGAAACCCCATTTTGGCTTCCCCAATCTAACAACTTTTTGTTAAACTTTAACAAAGCAAGTAAATTCAGATTGCTTGGTTGTTTAGCTTAAGGATAATTATTAAATGCTTTTAAGTAAAAATGCAGTTACAAGGATTACTGACTGAATGCCGAAGCACTGTCTCACATCACAGGGTTCTAAAAGTGAACTTACTATTGGAAATTTACAGACTTTTCTTAATCTGAATACAAACTAAAAGACTATACCATAATTTTATTAGTGGTTATTTTCAGTGGTAGGTGGGGTTTATGAGTGTTTTTAGTTCCTTTTCTAAAAATTCTCTCCAATGAATCTATGTTAGCTTTATTGTTATAAAAATATTAATATTATGACTTAAACTTATTAAGGCATCTTTAAATACAGATGGGGGCTTAAAACAATTTCTTTTCAACTTTAAACAAAGCTAGTATTTTGATGGCAAGCTCATCTCATGTAACCTTTAATAGGGTCTCAATTAACAAGGGCAAATTCTTTCAAAACTCAGTTTATAACTTCTATCCATAAAGTACCTTCCAGGACTCATATTAACTTTCTAATTATTTTAAAATTTTTGATAAACCTTATAAAAAGCCTTTAGGGCCTAGAAACATGAGGATCATTTTAGCTAAAAGTCGCAATCTCGCCTTTTTCTGATGCTGCAAAATGAATCCATTTGAGTTTTTACCCCAAACCCTCCCTAGTTTTCCTTTAAAAAAGATGTGTGAACTTATATGCATATATGTATAACCAGTGGACACAGATAACAGTGCGGTGAAGGCCGGAGGGGGGTGTCAATGGGGGGAAAAAAGAAGGGACATCAGTAATACTTTCAACAATAAAGATAACTTAAAAATAAAAAAAGATGTGCGCAAATGAATTGGCAACCAATAGGAGCTTAGACCGACCAGAATGTGATATTACCATCCTAGGTGTTAATTGAGATTTCTTTTTCTTCTAGCTCTCCAGAAGACTTCTTCGTTCATTTAAGAAACACTTGTTTGTTGTGCGCCTATCAATGGCCAGGCTCCAAAAGCAGCTGAGAAGCACCCTAGAGAAATAAGGCCCTGAAAGGCTCACCCTCTCAATCGCGGAGACAAACGAATAAACAACTGATACCAATCCAAAGTGATAAAAGCCATCTGGAGATTGGACAAAATGCCAAGTGAACACTCCAGGGGGAGATTCATCGACCTGCTAGGTGTGCTGGGAGGACTGGGGAGCTTTGGAGGGGGGCGGGTAAGGATCTGAAAATGCTTTCCTGAGCCAAACTTAAAGCAAGAAACCGGCAATTTCCCCAAAGGCTGGAAGTCAGAGCAGTTCCCTCGGCATCTACAAAGTGAGGCTAGCAGAGCCCAGGCCTGATCGCCGGCCTGGGAACTCGGCTACGTAACCACCAGGCGCCCAGATAGGGCCGGGGCCAAGCAGCCCCCCTCGTTGGGGTCTGAGCACCTTCCTTCTTCGGTCCCCGAGGCAGGTCACCACCTGTTCACTTTCACCGTCACCGGTTGAGGAACGACTCTGCCCAGCTCTGGGCGCAAAGCGCAGCCACCGATCTGGGTGCAAAATTTGATCCCTGCCACTCCCGGAACAGCAGTGGGCCGAGATTTGAGGGCCGCCAGAGCTGGCCGAGGCGGGGCGGGTCCGCAGCGGGCGGCCTCGGGCGAGCCCCGGCCTGGAGGGCAGGGGCCACGGCGGGGTCACCCGGGCCGAGGCGGGAGGACCGCGCCCCGCACCCTCTGCGGCCCGGCGCTCGGCCGGGCGGCGCCCTCCGACTCCGGTGCCACCTCCTCCCCGAGGGCGGGCAGAGGGCGCGCTGGCAGCAGGGGAGGTGGCTCCGACGAGCTGCCCCCGGCCGGCCGCGAGGCGCAGGGTCCCGCTCGCAGCGCGCACCCGCACAGCCGGGACCCCAGCTTTACCTGGTCGGGCGGAGACGCGGGTGGGAGCCCGGAGCGGGCGCACCGGCGGGCGTGCGGGCGCGGCGTCGGCCCTTCCTCACCTGGGCGGAAGTGAGAGGCCCAGGGTGACCGCGCCTCACCTGGCAGGCCCTCCCCTGGCGTCCACTTCCCGGCCCGGGGCGGGGCGCCGGGGTGGCGCTGGCCAAGGAGCCAAGGGCCGCGGGAGGCCGGCTCTGGGGAGGGAGCGCGGGGGGGCTGGGCTTCACTTTCTGCAGGTGAAGGTCGACTGGGCAGGGGAGGGTTAAAGAGCCTGAGAAAGGTGGGGTCGGGGGCAGCCGGCACTACTGGGGAGGGGAGGTCGCTGGACTGGTGTGGCAGGAGGGCTGAGCGGAGAGGGAGACCCAAGATCTAGGAGATTCAAGGGGGACTCAGGAAAGGTTTTGGTCAATGTGCTTAGTCCCTCGTTGTCCTTTACCTTTCGCGTTCCATCATTCTTCCCTTGTTTTCTATATCCACTGACCCAGTATAAAATTCTAAGAAGTATAATGGGGGGAGGGGGAGGCCTACCTTCCCCCCACTTGCACCCCCATGAGAAAAGGAAAGAAACGGAATTTAGCAATTTTGCCTGCAATATGCTGGGCGCTCCCTAGATTTTACTTGACTTCATTTAGATTATACTTGACTTCATTTACTGCGTGAAGAAACTGCGCACCTGACATTAAGTGATTTGCCCAAAGATTGGGACCCAGAGAGGATCTTCTAATTCTAAGTCTAGTGTTGATTTCACTATTCATTTTCATATTTTTATTCTTGGTATCCTAACCCGACTTTGAAAAATATCTATGTAAAACCTACCCTGGCATTATTCTACTCTCTTTAATGTCACCAACTTGAGAATTTTGATGCTGGGCATTGTACTTTGTCTAATACATTACACATTGTTAAAGAGAATCGATCTTCAGGTATGTATTCGTTGAATAAATGCAGTATTTGTTAAGCACTGTGATTGACTGTAAAATGCTAAGAATGGAATACCGGTCTTCAAGGGATATACAGCATATATACAGAACAATTGGATCATCTGTTAAAATCATGCATTTGGAATTTTAATGTTATTCTTAGTTTGCTGGTTTTAAAGGAAAATATCACTGGTTAGACCTGGCAAAAAGATACACTTTCAGCATGGTCCCTATTTCTTAGGAACTAACAAACTATTGAGGGAAATAAACTTACACAAGAACTGAAATTACCAAATAGAATGAAGCCAGAATTTTCAGAGATTAAAGACATCAATTATACTTGTTGAAAGCATCTGTTAGGATTTAAACAGGCTTAACAGGTGTTTGGGATTTGCTTAAGGTAAATAGAAAAAGAAATACTTCCCAAGTTGGGGTGGGGGTATGACAGCATACAGGTGGAGACCAATTATCTCAAAGGATCACTTTGCAAACATGTGGGTCTAGTCTCACTCTTACATTTAGTGATGATTTAAACACTCCCTTTCTCAAAAAATAATGTGATTTTGGATTGACTTTGAAACAAAGTTCAAACTCCCTTTCTGAGTATCCATGGTATCCTAAACTCTCTCCATTTTGTTGCTTTTTCAACCTAATCTCCCATTTGACCTTTCCAAGGTCTCACTCTGGCCAAACAGGTCTACTGCAAGTCCTGGGAATCACCGCACCAAGGCTTTTTTGTTGGTTACTCATCCCCTTTCCCATGCCTGGAATGTCCTACAAGCCCTTCCCTTCCCCAGGGCTACACTCAAGTCTCACCTCTTATGAGAAGCTGCCTCCTTGACCACCGCAGAAGACATCCATCTACACCACATTTAATTTTATTTTTTTCCACATTTTGCTGTTGTTGATTTAATATGATCTTTCCTTTGGCTCTTATCTGCAGTTTTAACATGTTTAAATTTATTCAATACATTGTTTACAGAGCTCACTCTGTGGTAAACATTTTCTGGCACAAAGGTGTTTTTGTTTTTTACCTCTGAGAACCCTCAAGAGAATCTCACTTATAGAATGAAAAGATAAACAAAATTTTTAAGAACACACCTCTAAAGTCAAAAGATCTGAGCATGGCTCTGGCTAGTTTGGCTCAGCGGTTAGAGCATTGGCCCTCAGACCAAAAGGTTGTAGGTTCAATTCTGGACAAGGGCATATATGTACCTGGGTTGCAGGTTTGATCCTGGCCCTGGTCAAGGTTGTGTGAGAGGCAACCAATCAATGTGTCTCTCTCACATCAATGTTTCTCTCTCTCTTTCTCCCTTCCACTCTCTTTTACAAGTTCATGGAAAAATATCCTAGGGTGAAGATTAACGAACAAAGAAAAAAAATCTGAGTTTGAATCCTGACTCCACCATTTCCTAAAATATGTCTTTGGCAAGTCACTTAACCCTTCCAATTCTCATTAGTGAAATGAATAATGCTTACATTAGATGGTAGTTTTGAAGGTTAAATGAATACATGTATTGCATATACCTGGCACATAGAAAGTACTCTATAAGTGGAGCAGCCCCTAGGTGGAAGTGAGCATGATAGAATCTGGGGACAGTAGGAGACAGCCAAGAGTAGTAGTAAATAAAGTGAGGCAGACAGTGGAGGACCTAAAAATCCACAGAGACTTTAGGTTATAAGACTTTACCCTTGCCCTGGCCAGTTTGGTTCAGCGGTAGAGCATCGGCCCATGGACCAATGAGTCCGAGGTTCAATTCTGGCCAAGGACAATGGTATATCTGTTAAAATTGAACTTACATTAACACATCATAATCACCCAAAGTCCATAGTTTATGTTATGGTTCACTCTTGGTCATGTATATTCTATGGGTTTGGACAAATATATGACATGTATTCACTGCTCTAAAAATCCTCTGTACTCAGCCTATTCATAACCTCCACCTCAGCTCCTGACAGCCACCAATCTTTTTATTGTCTTCATAGTTTTACCTTTTCCAGAATGTCAGATAGTTGGAATTATACAGTATGTAGCCTTTTAAGATTGCTTCTTTAGTAAATGCATTTAAGGTTTCTCCAGGTCATCTCATGGTTTGATAGCTCATTTCGTCTAGCACTGAATACTAGTCCATTATCTGATACCCACAGTTTATGTATCTGTTCAGCTACAGAAGATCATCTTAGTTGCTTCAAAGTTTATGCAACTATGAATAAAGCTGCCATAAATAACTGTGTGCAGGACATGAGTTTTTAACTCCTTTGGGTAAATACCAGGGAGCTTAAATAGGATTTTGAACATGATATAGTATATTTAATGAAAGATTAATTTGGAAGAAGTGTGAAAAAAAACGGATTGACAAAGTTGAGAGAGCCTAGAATAAAAAAGAGAAAGAAAGAAGTCATTATAACAAGGTACACAGGAAATAAGTTTCACCTAAAATAAGATGAAAATATTGGATAAAAAATGAACACTTAAAAATATCAGCTGCTTATTGATTAGATAAAGGGATTAAAGAGGAACAAGGAGAAAACTGAAGTGCAAGGATGATTCTAAGTTTTGAATCTGATAAAAAGGATATTGATGGTAAAACTGGAAAAGCCATTTTATTCTCTTTTGTTTTTTTTGAGAAGCAGGACTCTGATAAAGTTCGTTTATATCCTACTTTTGACATTTAAGATGAAATATACTTGGCAGAGAGTAGGCCTTATTAGGTTATGAGTACACTTCATTGGTTGGTAGCCAGTTAGATTAGTGCACCAAACATAGGACAATCAGAAATACTTGAGAAACAGCATTATTAATGTAGTAAAATTCAAAATATGCAGACGACTATAATAAATATCTACCAGAATCCTGATATTAGAATTTATCCACCAGAAAAAAAAACTGCCCATCACAGTCAGATTAAAAATAAAAAATGAAGACAGTAACAGTCTTTTATCTCTTCATGTTTTCTGTCCTAACCAAGGAAACAGGACTCAGGTTGGTTTCCTCAGAAGGTTATGGGCACAGACTATCTGTTAATGTCATTAAGTATATGCGAGAATCTTAGGAATAGTTGAACCCTGGAATTCCAGGGGAAGCTTTGCTTCAGGCTTCACTTGTAATCCTCTTTTCTAATGTTTCTACACAGCAGTTTCCATACTGGAATAGCTGTGCTATTCACATCCTTTGCTTTCTACAGAATTTACATGCGATTCTATAGAAATTTTTAAAAATGTTTTTATTGATTTTTTAGAGAGAGGAAGGGAGAGATAGAAACATCAATGTGAGAGAGAAACATCAAGTGGCTGCCTCCCGCATGACCCCCACCAGCAATTGAGCCCGCAACCTGGACATGTGCCCTGACCAGGAATCAAACCGGGACCCCTCAGTCCATGGAACAATGCTCAATCCATTGAGCCACACTAGCCAGGCCTATAGAATTTTTTGTGGCAAAGATATTTGGCATTGAAAACATGCCTAGAATTGAGATTTAAGAACTTTCTTACTAAAATTAGACAATGGAGTAATCATATGATCAGAGAGGACACTTGCAAATAAATAAAGTAATGTATTTTAATGAGCCATGAGAAAATAGATTAAGGGGCAATAAGAAGAAAAAGTTAATTTTTTAGTATACCATCAGTTTAAGAGTAAAAATTTTTATATTCTTTTTTTTTTTAAATGTTTTTATTTGAGAGAGAGAGAAACATTGATGAGAAGGAAACATTGATTGGCTATCTCCTGCACGCCCCTCATGGGGAGACTGAGCTCAAAACCCCAAATAGTGTCCCAATTAGGAGGTGAAGGTAAGGGGTATTTATGAGAAAGGAAAGAGGGACAATTATGTCAATAGATGGAAGAGATTTTTATAGGTAAAGATAAGCTAACATAGTGATGTTATTCTAAAGAATGTTAATTTTCAGTCCCAGAGTCACACTATCTTCTTTCTTATCTTTACAAACAGTTGCTTGTGATGCAATACTGCTCTAGGCTCAGAGCAAGGGTTATTTTGCCCAGTTTTAACATTCCAAAGGTTTGAGGAGTAAGCAGTTCCTCTGGATGGCAACTCTGACTCCATTTTAAAGTGGCTTCCTTTATATTATATTTTATATTTCCTCCTTTTGATTGAGA